ACCCTCTGCATACACTACAATGGTTGGCTGAGACTCCTATTTATATTCAACAATGTCAGTGGACTTGCCTTCTAGTTTCTTCCAATATGTCAGTGAAAATGGGTTAAATTAGTCTTGCAATTGGCAGTGGAATAGCAGCTTTTCTGGACTTTTTCCAACTACTCGAAGAAGAAGATTCAAGAAACGGACTGCACTTTATATTTTTCTCTGGACTAGAGTTGAAGCAATTGTTTCCAACTACTGAAAATAAAAATAAAAATGGAACCTCAAAAAATTCTGTGGGGTCATTTGACCCCACATGACCCCATGTGGGTCCGCCACTGTCACAAAGATGAATTTGCCTTCTTTTTCAATATGATTCTCTCTATTTCTTGAGTTGTTTTTTTTTTTTTTTTTTTTTTTTTTTTTGTATAAAAGAGGCTCATCCATGCGTATAGAATGTTCTGATATTTATATAGCTTGAAATTAGGTCAAAGATATCGTTCAAACCCTAGCTAAGTAGAGTTTTAATTGTATAAGGAAACCTGAGATTCGGTCAAAATCTTGTACTATGCAGTTGCATAGTATATTGGGATGCTACCATATAGATTACTTGTTGAATTTTAAAATTTTCTCTGTAGGATTGAATGCGACCACGAGCATTTTGAACTATACGATGGCATAGTTTAAGCTTTTCCTCCGTCGAACAATTTTCAATATTTTGGTCATACATTTCTCACCTAATATCTGATTGGGACGATTCAAGGTGGGTTAGAAAGATAACCCAAATGGCTACAATTTTGCTTGAAATAGAATTTTCAATATAGATGTTTACTATGCTAAAAATGGGTCTCAAACAGAGATTGAAAATCTGGAGTATAATTTTTTCGCTTGAAAGTTGATATGTGATAATATTTCAACTATATTTCATCCATTTGACTTCTTTTCTTATCCAATTGACCCCAATCACTCTCGAATTTTCATTGTAAGGTTTGACACAACTTTTTAGTAATTCCACTTTAGCCCTCGAACTTTGATTTTGCTTCATTTTAACATTTTTCTCTTGTAATCTTGTACATTTATCTTCCAATTGTATCTAATTAAAACATTGGCATCTTCGATCTTCATTTTATCGCCTATCTTATCTATGGATTACTTGTAGCTTGTCTTTTGGATTTCACTTGTTTTAACATGTTTTCTTTTTGTTCAGTCGTTGAACTTTATCTGTTTAGCTTAAAACGCAGCAATTTATGATATATTTCGTCAAAAGAACTAGCAAAATATTGTTATTTTAGGCTCAGAATAACATATTAGTTATCATTTATAAATTGTTTATAATTGGTCAAACAAAGTTTTTATCCATATATTTCGTGGACTCATGGTACTAACTCGTTTAAAACTCTTACGGAAAATGTTTCAGCAACCAAGTCATAGTTGGTTGGATCAATTCTTTGTTGCTCCTCAATAATTTTTAAATAATTCACCAATATAAAAAGTTCTACAAGAAATCCTTATTTACCCAGCGACCACTCTATGGTCCTTGAAGGCTTCTTTTTTTCGCGGCCATAGTCAATGGTCGCTGATTACCCAAAGCCACGTGAAAAAATACGCAAGACTTGCCCCCACCAAGTTATGTAGTGACTAATTGAAGGTGGTTGTGTAATCATACTAATTATGTACAAGTTGAAGATGCCATATAGTGGCTAAATGGCAATAAATTATCAAATGATGCCACTAAATATCATATAAGGTTTCAAAATTTTGCATACAAGATTCATAATCTAAATTGTATCATGTAATGGTATATTTAAGCATGAATTACTACAAGGAATTCAACCTTATGACTTTGATACCAATGTAGGAAATTGCAGCATACTTTCATATGAATTTCGGGTCAAGAAACTTATATGAAATGATGAATTCCAAAATCTTTGTGTGGTTGAATTACCTTACTATCCAACTATCAAAATCTGCATTTTCTAGTACTCCAATGGTTCCAATCCTGATCACCATCGAATGTGATTATTATCCACAATCAAAGTGCCAATATTTGTGAGATTTAATGCCAAAAATATGCTTCAAGAGACTTTTCAATTTTGGCATTAATTTTCATACGAATTTTCACCAATTTTTTTTCATGCTACAATTTTTCATTTTCATAACTTCTACATGGAGGTTCCAAGTAGTTATTCGAGAGTTGTGGATTTGAATTCCAAATTCAAATCACTCCCCCCAACCTTTTTAAATCTTGTGGGTTGGATCACCCGACATGGGTGACCCATTACCCCTATTTTCCAACAAAATGAATTTCAGGTGTCTTTATTCATTTGAAGAAAATTGAAAATTTGGTGCCAAACAAATTTCCATTACGTTCGATAATTTTGTTGCTAGAATAAAAAATGTAGTAGGAACACGACAGTATTATGCATTACTTGATGAATGTTTGTTAATGCAACTCTTTGAAAAATATTGCAGCTATCATTATTGAAATAATTATTTCTATTTTAGAGGATTTTAAGGACTACGGTTCCATTGCGTGTGCTCGGGGTGGAAGTTTTGTATAAATCCCCAAATGGTGAAAGAATCGTCATATGCCCCAGAAGATTATCTCCAGAAAAGAATTTTGATATTGAACGTGATAAAATGAAAGAATTGAATATTTAGTCAAGTTAAATTTTAAAAATTGATTTGTGTTGTTATTTTATGAAGAAAAAGAAAAAGAATTATATTATTGATACAACGAAAAAGGACTAGAATGAAGGTTATGGCAATAGATATGTCATAAAATAAAAAATACATATTTAATATCATTTGTGTGTGTGTGTGTGTTGGGGGGGGGGGGGGATAAAATTACTGCATGTTGACATCATTGTATATATACAACGCGTCATGGAACAATTAAATCTTAATAGGTTGTGTACACTTGACATTTTACTTAACACGGCTTGATGGTTTCCATCTCCAATGGATCAAATCTTGACTAAGAAACTCTACACCTTAGGTCCCTTCACGAACCATGTCTATTGCTAGAAAATTACAAGATTTACAATGATGGTCCAACCATGATTCATTACGCTTGTTTATGAAAGAAATTTATTTTTCCTTGTCGAGATCTGTCCACTTTGTAATATAGATAATCGAATCGTTAATAAATTTTGGACGCTGTCCATTTTTGTATTACCACATTCTCTAGAGATCTCTTCAGCACTCTTTGCAAGTCTGAGTAGGAAAGTCGAATCTTTAACATTCAACTCACATTGTCAGTAATACGACCATGATATAATAATTGTTTATGGAAGGAATAAATATTTTTTTATCGAGATCTATTCGCTCTAAAAGATAGAGAATTGAATCATTAATAAATATGGGTTCCACCCATCAATTTATTACTAATAAAGAAACGACAAATCGTGATTAACTTAAGTATTATAACATTCCCATGATATGTTAAGGTATTTAGGACAATATTGGGGAGCTTTCATACTGGACCGTGCTACACGTACATAATGATTTATCTAACCGTTTACACCCTACTCACATCATTAAAGTGGGGACCACGGCTCGACATTATTAAATACATGCGGGGCCCGTGTGTTTGTGAGAAGGGGGTAAATGCTTCGGTAAACCCCCCTCGGTACAAAGAGAATAATCCTTTCATACTAGTGCAACTTTATGGATGAGATGTTTGCCTTCCAACATTGAAGTGCCTCACTAGCTGATTGTCACGTGGCGCTAGATGACAATAACCATTAAAGTAATAAAGTAGAAGTTTATGAGCAATGTAACATCCTTCTGAGTAGGGATGACAATGGGTCGAGTCGGCTTGACCCTTTAATCCACGAGCTCGGCTCGAGTTCGTGGCTCATGAAAGACGAGCCGAGGTCAGCTCAACCCATGAGCTCTTGAGGCTGAGTCGAGCCCACGAGCCGTTCGCAAGCTCGTGAGTTTTTTAATTTTTTCTTTATAAATTTGCACATTTTTGACTTTGTTTTTTGTGTAAATTTCAATATTTTTTAATGAGCCCACGTTGTACATTTTTTTACTCTTTTTTTTATTATTTTATTTTATTATTATTATTTTTTGTAAATTTGCATATTTTTTTACAAGAGCTCGTGGGCTCGACTAGCCAAGCCTTGACTCGTGGGCTTGAGTCTCTGCTCGGCTCGAGCCCAATCCGTCCACGAGCCGAGCGGCGAAGCAGATGAGCAGTTCGACCCGTTTAACATCCATACTTCTGACGCATGTTTGATGATGTGTCTCATACCCTATCATTGGTAAACAATCCTGCACGGGCACGACAGACAGACAAGTGATGAAATCCTAAATTCTCGAGCTAACCTCGACCATTTACACTTGATGCATTACCTAGCCCTAACCCTTAATGTTTCCATCTTGAATCAACCACGTATTGATCAAGAAACTTCAAGTCCTTAATCCTTTACAAAAAAACTACCAAAATTACTATAATGACACAACCATGATCACTTCATCTAACACTTGTTTAGTAATCAATTTTTCTTGTTAGAATTTATCCACTGGAATTATATCGTTAATAAATACTAAGTTTCAACATCGCTAATTTTAAGTATTAAAATGTTCTCAAGTTATTTATCATGTAAGCGGCATATATGTAATTTTGAGCTTGCATTCCAAATATATTTTCAATTCCATCAAAATTCAATTATTTTACAAATCAATTTTCCAAATTGTTTTTCTTGTTCTTTATATAGATACTAGAGAAGTTCATCAATACATTTTTTCTGGAAAAAAAAAAATTAAGGAAAACGAAATTTCGTTATCATTTACTCAGCCCACGTAGAGAACACGTCAGCGCTGATCTAAAGCCGCATTTTCCCCAGGACCACCACTTACACAAAAACAGAAAGAAGGGCACTTCTGTCATTTCATATCCTCAATCGCCTGGTTCTCGTACATGCTGCAAATAGCCCCACATTATTCCAACATTACATTACCGACTTTACCCCTTACCCTCATAAAAACTCGCATCAAAATATAACCCACATAATTCTCATCTCTATTTTCATTTTTATCGATTCATTCTCGATATATACAGACCAAATTCTCCTCCTTTTCTCTCTTTGTAAACCGCAAATAAGCAATCAGGATATGGCTCAGAATAGAGAGAAAGAAGAAACGGAGCTCAAAGTCCCCGAAAGTTTACCTATTTGCACACATCCTGCACCGATTCCAGCGCCGGTACAGCTGTCGGTTACGGGAGGTAATTGCGAGAGATCGCCCGATGGCTCAGATACGAAGGTGCAGGGTGGCGACGACCAAAGAATTAGCTCGGCGACGTCCCCGGAGAGATCAGATCTGGTGTCCGCGACTCAAAGGGCAGGAGGATTAGCTGCGGAGGTGGAGAAACGAGGCGGATTGAAGAGACCTAGAGAGGTGACCCGATGTTCCGGGTCTGGGTGCAGGAAAAAGATCGGGTTGATTGGATTTCGATGCAGATGTGGAGAAATGTTCTGTTCCGAGCATAGGTATTCAGATCGCCACGATTGTAGCTACGATTACAAGGCGGCTGGCCGGGAAGCCATAGCCAGGGAGAATCCCGTTGTAAAAGCTGCAAAAATCCTTAAGGTTTGAGGTAGGGAAAAAAAATAAAAAATTGAAGCTCAATAATTAGGTAGCATTTGAAAATTCGAGAAACTAGTGAGGGTATTGTTGTCATTTTATGTTTATCATAATGGTAATTGAACTTCTATGCTTTGCAATTTTTATTTTTATTTTTATTTTTATGAATTGGTTTAGCTGATTTAATTACTTTCTAAATTAAGGTGTTTGAAAACTGAAAGGGTTTGGTAATATAAATGTTAATTTTGTTGCTTATTCAATTGATGAGTAATTAACTATATTTAATTATTTAATAATTTATTGGTTGATGGGAAAAGGTGGGCATGGAGCCCATGCTTAGAAGCTTAAAAATTCAACAAAAGTAGGCCAAAAAAATATCTTAGAAAAGGGGGAAAACTCCTCGTGATTCATGAAATACGTATTTTTTTTTTAGGAAATTAAACCTAATTGGGTGTTGAACAAGTCACCATGAAATGATTTATGAATATACTAATTTGTGGTAGAGACGGGATTTCATGTTAGCTTAACAAGTTAATTATCTCATGATATATTTGGTTCAAGCTTCGTAGCTTGGGATTAAATCCCTGGTTTGACTTCAGATTGAGGAGTTGCCACCTCGGCTCTCGATCTTACATCACATGGGGCCCATCGAATTCAAATTAAGGGTCGAGAACACGGCACTTCGGCCCCTAGAGCCAATCTCAAGAGTTCCTGCATTTTTCTATTTGGTTTATAAACACATGTTAAAAGTGTTTTGTGGGACCTACAAGTATTGATACTTGTATCATTTATTTAACGCATATTTTCAACTATTTATTTATAAATACTTTCAAATATGTGTATAGTTGTCACTGAACTTTTCTGGATCTTTTACAATTGTCATTATAAAGTTAAATGTTTTTCGAATTGTCGCTGACATTTAAGTTTTTTCGAATTTTTATTGAACTTATAAACGTTAGTTCTTTCCTCACTTGTTGTATTACAAGTTAATGGATTTGATCAACTCAGGAAAATTTTATTTTATCTATCATTGTATCTGTCATGCCATCAAGTCTGTTAACATTTGAAACACCGTTGATGAATAAAGTATTTGTAAGTTGAATGGCATTTTGGAAGTCTTTCAAATTTTAATGATAATTGAAAAATATTTGAGAAAGTTTAGTGACAATTCGAAAAACTTTCGATGACAATTGAAAAACATATGAGAAAGTTCGTGGCTAATGTGACATTTAACCGTTGGTTTGACACATCCGACACGATTGACACGTTGAGTACACTATGTTGATACAAAATTAACGAAGTAATTCAAATTTTAAATTTAGATTATCATTCGCTCGAAAAATAAAAATCCTTTTAGACATTGTTGATTTGTTAATAGATGTTAACAATGAATTATCTCGTGTTAGTTCTAGAAATGAGAATGAAGTGGTATATAAATTGACATATTTAACGTTAGAATTGAATGTTTGAGTCGATTGTATGATTTATTTTCTTTCTCCACAACATGTGACGATATTATAATGAGAATGTTTTGTTTGCCTTCAAAGTAAGATAATCGAAGAATTACCGAGACTTTTGGACCAAGTATTTTGGACACACCAACATATGCCAATTAATTATCTTGAGTACAACATAATCCATCGGCTAATTGAAAATTCGAAGCAAGCGAATTATTCGAAGTCACATTAAAACCATTTTAATATCGTTTACTTCTTTTTTACGCCACAGATTAGAGGCGAAATTTGGGGGGAATAAAAATAAATAAATAATTGTACTGAATTAATACAATAAAAAAAGTGGTAATTACATAAAACCCTAGAGTTAAAAACTAGGGTTCAAAAATCATATGAGTAGTTTAATAGTTCAAAAATCAGATTTTCATCTTTAAATTAAATACCAATTATACTCGAATTTCATTTCAATCCGTCTTCTCTCTCTATCAATTATAATCCATCTCCTTCTCTCTCCACAAACTCTCTCTCTCTCTCTCTCTCTGTGGCAGCTTAAGAAAGGTTGAGGAGGTGATGCTTCTATTTTCATTCTCCCCACCCGAATTCAACTTCACCGGTAGCTTCATCCCCAGGTTGTGCTGTCTCTTACAGACGGTAGCGCAGCGATCTGTGGCCTCATCTTCACCGTCGGCTACAGTGCGCATCTTGCTCGAGTGTCCACAATCTGTCTCCGCCACCGATTTCTATGGCTGTGGATTTGTCGTCGGCGTGTTGGATTTGTGGGTGTCGGCCGATGATATTGGATCTCTAATTTTGGATTTGTAATGCGCCAGTAGTGGCATTGGGCAGATGAGTTCTGGTTTTGGTTCTAACATTGGGCAGGAGCAGAATAGGGAGGAAGACAATGTTGGTTGTGGATGGTGGTTTGTGTGTCGGATGGCATGGGTGATCTGATCTTTTTTTTTTTTTTTTTTTTCAATTCTTCCGCTTCCAGGATAAATTCTCCTGTTTGTGCCTCATAAAAAGAAGTAGGAGGCTAGATAGAAAGTGAAACCTAGGTTGTAAGAAAGACTCGGGAAGAAGTGTAGCAAGCTCGTGATCCCCCTCTATCATCGTATGAGGAGAGCACGAGAGCCAGAAGGAATTAGTCTCCACTAGTGTCATTAGACCCAAAAGTAATGGAGATGACAAATTTTTGGATGAAAAATTTTAGGTAATTTCGTCAAACATTTATTAAGTTTGAGATTGCGCTTTACATTTTTTAAAGGTTTTGAATCTTTCCTGCAAATCTTCATTTTTTAATTAATTAAAGGTTAAAAGTGCAATTTGCCCTTTTGAATATAGTCAAATTATGGTTAGACGCTTAACCTTTGATCAACTAATAAATCTTGGATTAAAAAATTGACCAAAGGTAATTCCATTGCACATTTTTGAAAGGTTTAGAACAGATATGCTATGACTTAAATGTTTGAGATTGTGTTGAACATTTTTTAAAGGTTGGAACCTTCATTGTAATTTTTCTGTAAGCCCCTATTTGGTTGCAATTAAAATTAGATTTTAATTCAAGTCATAGTCAACAATTAATTTCTACCACATATTTTATAGAGCCCATAACTTATCAACCATATATTTCATCAACTTTTATTAAAATTGACTAAAAATCTGATTTTAGTCTCTATCAAATAGGGGCTAATGATGTTTTCAAGATTTATTTCCATGAGAATTTGAGTCATATATGGAAATCATAATTTTTTTCTATCGGAAATGTACTATATTATAGCGTAGTACAGATGCATACTATAGCATAATATCAATGAAATTTGGCCATCAAATTCTCTAAATGACACCATGCAACTACATGGCACAATACACTATATGGTCATACGCTATGCAACTGCATGGAGTAGATAATAATCCAAAAATTGTGTTTTAGTCCTTGAATTCTATTTTTTTGTTTCTTGATCTCTTTTCTTGCTTCTTCTTCTTCCAATACTTCATTTTTTCACTCAATTGATTTTTAACCCTTTCACATCTTCGTTTCTTCGTTATCTTTTAAATATTTGTACTTTGGTCCCTGAACTTTGATTTTTTTCCATTTTGATAATTTCGCTCATGTTTCCTGAATTTTGCCATAGTCATCCATGTTGTCCAGTGCAATATAATTTATATAGAATTAAGTCATACTTCAACATATTTACCAACAATTATTCATGTTTTATGGCATAAATAAGTGTGTAAAGCGAACTTATCAAACCCTAAAACTATTGTTTTTTCTCGAACAAATTAATAGCTTAATTCCGCACAAAATATGATTTGACAATCTGTCGTATCTCAGGATTGAAATTCAATAATCAACTTAATGAATAGTTCGATAGTGCAAAAATCAAAATAAATATCTACCTATTATATGCATAACCCGACGTGTGTGTGTGATTCATGAAAACATATCGAGCTCATGATTGATTTAACTCTTGACTCGTAGTAGTCAAGTATTTCCTTACTTCGCTCAAGAGTTCCACACCCTTCAAAGTTATTCTTTTCATCAAAATTTTCAGAATGTGTTCTAAAGTTGAAGTTTAGGTAATCATAATCCTTACACTATCTTAGTTTTGATAGATATTACTATCACACATTCACATTTCAACAAATAAAGATTCTCATGTTTTTTATTACTCCAACATTTAAACTAAGCTACTTGCTTTACATTAAATGTATAATTCTATCAACCAAATTTCTTGGGGGCTTAATTACTGCAATTGTCTTTTCCCCACTTATTATTGTTTTCTCTTCCTCTCTTTTTTCTTTCTTTTTCTCAGGCATCTTCTCATTTACTTTATATATAACCCATATATCAAACTTTAGGCCGAAAACTCCCAAGTCAGTTGACCTTAGGGCACCAGAGTTTGAACATTTGCATGTTTATTCACTCGAGTTATAAAGGCTCGAAAGATGATTTTTATCAACTTCTCCATCTTTTTCTTTCTATACGATCATTTTAGCGAGCGTTAGATCGATAACTTTCAAATCAGTTGATTTCAGGACACCGAATTTTCGAATACCCTTACAAGTTTACTTGCTTGAGATTGAAAAAGCGACAAAATCAAAAAATAAAATAAAATAATAATAATAATAATGATGACAAGAAAGTGTTTAAACTAAACCTCTACAATTCCATGAAATTACAAGGTCATAAATATGTGAATTCAAAATATTTAAAATAATATAAATACCATCTATTAGGACAATTATTGAGAGTGTCCTTACAAATTATAAGTCAAACAAAGTTATTATAAAATCATAACATTTTTTCGTAATGATTTTATAGTCATCAATTAAATTTGTTTCCTCAATGTGTCCAAAATATTATTTTAAAGGAAAATGGGTTCCATTATATCTCCATTATCTTCAATTATTTATTTTGATCGAATGCTTATCTTGAAATGCAACATTAGTGTGGTGTGACTGTGACACCATTCTTTGAATGACTTGTTTTTTGTATTTTGACTAAAAATATATTTTCTATATCTTTCTCATATTCTTTAATTTAAGAGACATTTGAAACCATAGTTTATCAACGTGAATTAATTATTTCATAATAATTGGAAAGAATTATGGAGCTGAACGTCAAATTTGACCAGCCTAATATATGTGTTTTATTTATTTTTTGAAATTCAATGTATTATTACGTACTTTATAGTTAGTGATAAATTGTGTACACATAAATTTGATGTAACTTTTTATGTAGTT